AAATTGTGTCAAGCTAGGGAGACGAAAGGAGGGAGGCAAGACAGGTAATAAGTGGCATAGAGTTTAGGGGAGAGAGGAAGACAGATTGAGAATGAGAGAATGAAGGTGACATATTGTCTTAAAATTCTAGCAAGTTGGATGGGCATGTTTTCCTCTTAGTTTTTATTATAGTCATTGCCCTTACTTTAAGACCCACTGAGTACTCATTAAGACATGTTTTCCATTCTGTGGAGTTCAGATATGGTTCTTTAATTTTAGTTAAAGAGAATCTAAGAATCTAATCTCTTCCAAATAATGGGGACTGAGAGTATTTTAATTCCAATCCACATTGTGTCACAGCCTATCTCAATATACAGTGTATCAGTGCACTAACCTAAAGGGAAATATCATGACTTAATTCCTGCTTATTCTGAGAGTTTTCCAGATCAGTGCTCTTACAGTCCTATTTTATTTACATTACAGATACACACATACACGTGTGTTTCCTTTAAAATCTACTTCTAAGTTCCAGGGTAGATGTGCAGGTTGCACATATTTATTACATAGGTCAACATGTGCCATGGTGGTTTACTGCAAAGATCAACCTATCACCCAGGTATTAAACCCCGCACCCATTAAATGTTCTTTCTGATATTCTCCCTCTCCCTGCTCCCCTGACAGGCCCCAGCGTGTATTGTCTGCCCATGTGTCTATGTGTTTTCATCAATCACCTCCCACTACAATCTTATTTTTATCTTTTTATGAAATGGAGTCTCCATCCATCTCCAGGCTGGAGTGCAGTGGTGCGATCTTGGCTCACTGCAACTTTTGCCTCCTGGGTCCAGCTATTTTCCTGCCTCAGCCTCCCAAGTAGCTGTGACTACAGGTGCTCACCACTATGCCCAGCTAATTTTTGCATTTTTAGTGGAGAAAGGGTTTCGTCATGTTGGCCAGGATGGTCTCTATCTCTTGACTTCATGATCCCTACACCTCAGCCTCCCAAAGTGCTGGGATTACAGGAGTGAGCCACTCTGCCTGTCCTATTTTTATCTTTTAAAAAACATTATCAAAGGGGCCGGGTGCAGTGGGTCATGCCTGTAATCCCACCATTTTGGGAGGCAGGAGGCAGGCAGATCACTTGAGCTCAGGAGTTCGAGATCAGCCTGGACATTATGTCAAAACCCCATCTCTACAACTCCCCCGCCAGTAAACAACAACAACAACAACAACAACAACAAAAAACCCGTTTCCAAGGGCATTCTGATTACCTCTAAAAATACTGAATCTCTTCTATATCCTCTTTCTCCTCAAAAAAAAAAAAAAAATATATATATATATATATATATATAAGTGAAATTAGTATTGTCATATTCTAAATTAAGCAATGATATCAATAACCAGTTTGTTTGTTTTGACTTACTGCCTATTTGTTTCTACTCATGCAATCTAAGCCATGTAAACTCTAAGCAACATAAAGTCTTTCCATTTCAAACATAAAATTTATAAGACACTACTCTTGATGTTTCATATTTTTACATGAGTAACTTTACATGAATATGGAACATGTCTTGTTCAACAACTTGAATTTTAAATAAGACTTTGCACTCAGTGTGGTTATATTGAACTCTGAGGTAAACAAGAAGGATTAAAGTGTTCTGGAAGAGTTTATCAGACACTGAATCATAAACATTTTGTACTGATAACTATAAAGTTCCAATGTAAGAAATAAGGCTTGTGAGCCAAAATTGTTCTGGAATTTAACCATTTATTAAGAATATAATCATTTGCCAAAGGATACATAAATGTTAGTGTGGCACATGTGTTTGGGTTTTCAAACTACACTATATTATCCATGAGACCCAAGGTAATTCTTGAAGTTCCTTATTTTCCAGATTTAGTCATTAAAAAATGGTTCCAATAAAAATTTTGTCACTGGTATAGAGGTACAAGTTGGTGAAACAGTATTTGGAAAGCTTTTTTATTTTAATAAATGGAAGAAAGAGAGGCAAGTTGTAATATAAATCTAAACAAAATGGTTTTGAAGAGGCTGGAAAAATAAATACAATACAGGGGAAATTAGTTGTTCTGAAATCTGCTAACAAATAAACAATACTTGAGGCTTTGACTTTTGGACTGATGACCCTGTGGCCAAACCATAAGCCATTTTTATATTGTGCCCCACTTAGATCAGTACTATCTTATAAAAACAAGCATATTATTCTTCTGTTGGTACCTTGGATGTAGGGCTGGTATAAATCAAATTTCCTCTTGAAATACGCCTGATCCTCTTTGCAAATCAAATTCTTAGGTGGTAAAATATAAAAGGACCTCTTTGTCCATTTCAGCTGGGCCGGAGAGAAGTGAGGAGCTAAACCTGACATTCTCTTGTCTGCACAGATCCTAAGCTATACCATCCAGGTGGCATGGCACTGGAGGAGAGCAGGGTTGCAGCTAAAACCTCACATACCAGAATATATTTACTTTTCCTTTATAAAATTTATAGTTGGAAAAAATATGGCTAACGATATGTGATAATTTCCTACCTCTCATTGACTGGAAGGGTACTTAGACCATGATAAGCCCTCTACATTTCAGAGAAGGACGAAACTCTAAACACTGAAAACATCTGATAGTCATTCTGGAGGAGGGGTATTATACAAAGCAATGCATACTATTTTTACATCTGTGGTAATACACAAGGTTACCTTTAATGTATTTGAGATTTTTCAGCGTTACCTGGCCATTCCATTTAGGTCAGCCAACCCTTGCCTGAACAAATCATTCAAGTCTGGAGAAGGATTTTTTTTTTTTTAATTGTCTCTTCATATGTAGCTGTAGGAGATACTATGGGTTTAAACCAACTCTCCTTCAAGAAAAGACTTGGTGTCCCAGCTGCTGGAAGTGCTGACAGTAGACAGTTTTCAGGTGTCAGCCCTTCAGGGATTATCTCAGCTTCAGAAAGTCAGTTTCTGCAAGGTTATGTCCTTCCTGGGATGGCTCACATGCAATCAGGGCCACTCTGGATGGCCATTCTAACTCCAGAACTGCCCAGGCTGACACTGATACTGGGACTGCTGGTAGCTTCACTTCTTACTCTGCCCAATTCTGCTTTCTTCCCTTCCCCAGTGTTAGTGAATGCTCCAATGTCTTCAAATCTGCTTGCTCAAAAAACTCAATCTATGGCACTACCTTGCCACAGTTTATATTTACTTCAAGGCCCTTGGGCAAGTACGAACTTTGACAAGAAAATAGTTACAGCTTCTGGACAGGATATTAACCTGAGCATAGATGTCTAAGTACCTCTATGTTATTGATATCATTGCTTAATTTAGTGCCTTAAGATGATTCAAATAATGTCCAGTAAGATATAAAACGAAGAGAAAATATGCATCATAGGTAGATTCTAGAGATAAGTGACAAGTACATATTATTAGCTCAATGTAGAATAGAAATGTAATTATGATCCAGAAATGCAGGGCAGATTCAGTATTATAAAATGAAATACTACTAATATCCAGAGTTACATATTAAAAGAGAAATATGATTATACTACAGATGCAGAAGATCATTAAACATAATTCTACCTTGATTTTTAATTTAAACAATCATAAATGAGAAACAGAAATAATTAATTTGCTAAAATATATTTACTAGAATCCTAAAGAAAACATCTGACATAATTGTAGAGCTTTTATCTTATTCTCATTAAAGTTAGAAGCAAGTCAATTATATTAGCTTTCTATTGCTGTATAACAAATTATCACAAACTTAATAGCTTAAAACAGTATCTGTTTCCTCACAATTCTATGGCTAAATATATTGGATTGAAGATTTACATCTAAAAAAAACCCCATTCTTCTTATTCATCAGCAAAAACAAAATTATACTATAGTAGATGGAAAATATACAACAATCAAAAAATATTAATTAGGAAATAATAGAACAAGGGAAAATGTTCAAAATCTAATTTATGAACATGAAAATCTGTATGATTTTGGACATGTTTTTGGACATGTTTTTAATGAAGAGCACATTCAATAGTGAAAAGCTAATTAGCTACAAAGTACATATTTATAAAAGGATAATTAAATCTTCAGTTATTCATGGAACATGAATCAATAATTTTAAAATTGATATAGTAAATTTAAGTTCAAACATGTGAAAGAATGGACCTAAAGCAACAGACTTCTGTTCTGGGAAAAACATAGTATAAACCAAATCTTTAAAAAATTAAATGCATTGCTAAGCTAGAAAGAAAAAAGAAAAATGTTCAGGTGCCATTAATAAAGCTTAAGTACAACCAGATGCTGCTGCAACCCAGTGGAATGTTCATCCTGGCTGTAACCCTTAATGCCTGTAGAAAAGGTCAACATACAACTATAAGTAATAATTTTCTACATGCATTACAGACAATTAAAATTATAATTTCATATACCTACTTTAAATAGCAAAAAAACACCTAAGAGAGTATTTTTCACAATGTACATACAAAGTTTTATGGGAAAAATTAAAGAACTTTGTGAAAGTCATAAAAATGAACTAGAGATGAATAAATATACCATGGTGAGGAATATTGATATCATAAATATCTTTTTACAAACTAATGTCATTACAAAACTCAAACTGATGCAATAATATGCAGCCAAAACAATTTTTAAGACAAAAAAAAAAAAAACAACCTAAGAGTACAGAAAAAAATTGCTGAACAGAACTTCAGGGCTTGCTATAAGTTTATGTTAAATAAAATAACTTTGGTATTGGCATAAAAACAGAGAAAGCAATGGAACAGAAACTAATATCTAGAATCATATAGACAAACTTCAAGATGAAAAAATATATACATTATTAAATGAAGAATGTTTGGTTATTTGGATATGCATGTGAAAGATGACAGAACAGAGTCATCATCATATAATATATGTACAGTAACCAACCAAAACAAGACGTGGCTAAACATTTAGAATGAGAATAGCTAACATATCATGCTGAAGGCTGTACTAACTCTTTCATTTTGTTAACAGGTGTAACCCTCAGAATAATTCTGTGAGGTAAGTATTAATACTGTCATTTCTATCTTTTGTCATTATAGACAAAGGCACAGAGACACTGAATTGACTAACCTGATTCTTCAAAAGCAATGAGGTGATTTTGAAAGAAGCAGACTGGCTCCAGAATCTGTGCGCTTAATCACTGTGTACACAGAACTATCCCCATTAGTGTTTCTTCCAGTAAACATAGCAGAATACATTTGTGACATAATAAGAAGATACGGTTCCTTAGGAAAGACACTAATACTTGAAACAGTGAGGGAAAACCTAGATATGTTTCAAAAATTTAAACAACTATGTAATAAAAGACTACAGACTTCAAGCAAATGAAAAGCCACAGACCTTTACATATGACCTTTTTATCAAGTAAAATGGCAAGTTTGTGAAGAATTCTGACAATGAATAAATGGTAAATATTCCAAAGGAAAAATAAGTAGATAATTTTAAAAGGAGGAAATAAGAGTCCATAATAGATGTATGAGTATTACAGCACCACACAGGGAATTACAAATCAACTGTTCATGAGATACTCTTTTATACTCATCAAATTATCTAAAACATGTATAAACTAATAAAACTAAGTATATAGCCAAGAAGATGGGCAAATAGATCATTGCATATATATGGCCAGTTGAAAGCAAACATTGGAGTCTCTTCTAGACAACAATTCTACATTAACTAGTAATGCTTAAATGTGCATACATGATTATCTAGCAATTCTGTCCCTTGGAATAGACCTGTACTCTCTAAATATGGTAGCCACTACTCACAGGTAGCTATTTAAATTATGTTTATTTAAAATTAATAAAATTGAAAATGTGTTCTTCAGTCTCACTAGCCATATTTCAATTGCTCAGAAGCCACCTGTGCCTAATGAAGACCTTATTGAATAGCACAGATCATAGAACAATTTGATTATCACAGAAAATTCCTAACTGATTGGTATGGATCCTAAAGAAACTCTAATACGTACATTTCAGAGAATTAATAAAAGATTGTATATTGTGACTCTGGTCACCAAAACCAACAAATAACACAAAACAAAAAAAAGCAAGAAAGGACAGAAAGGAAATTATTTAAATATTTATCAATACTATAGATAAATTAAGATGTATTTATAATAGAGTGTAATATATGTTAAAATGAATTAATTCGATCTATATATGAACATAAATCTTGAAGAGTATCATTTTTGAAAACAGAGTGATTTGCACACTATGATATTATTTAGTAGAATTTTAGAAGTAATATTAGTTTTTATTGTTTTATGCCTGTGGTTAAAGCATGAGATCAAAACATAGTAAATTTATGGCAATGAAATCTCTGGTAATAAGAGGACAAGGGGACAATGGAGTGAGGACAGATTTGTGATTCTTTCATTTTTTAAAATGCTTTCATCTAATGCAAATTAACTAATGGCATTATGAGGATTTTTGGTGGTGGAACCATGCATATAAAATTAAGTATTCTTTGCATTTGTACAAACTATTTTATTACAATAAACATAAAATTGATTTTAGGATTTTTGCTGCTTCTTAGGCTGGAGAAATTTTCAAGTGAGAATTTCTCCGACTCTAATAATGAGAATAATCCAACTAAAGAAAACTTGTTTTTTTCTTCTCAGGTCATCAGAGATCAGAGTTTACAAAGAAAACTAATGAGCTAAATACCAAGATGACTATCTCTACTCTATAAAAGAATGGACACAGGATGGCTTTCATGCTTGGCTGGTTAGTTGAAAGAGAAGTTGCAACAGATAACAAGAAAATGGATTAAAACAATTTATTAAGTATTTAAATTTCAAAAATAAAAGGTGTAGAATGTGGAAAGAAAGAATTGAGGTAGTATTTATTTATAGATGATAAAATTGTCTATATAGAATATCCTAAATAATTTACCAAAAAATAATTATATAATTACGAGATGAATTTAGCAGTTTTAATATACCAAATATAAAAATCCATTGTTTTTCTATATCATAGTGAATAATTTGAAAATATAATTAAACTACAATATTTAAAATAGTTTCTAAAACCGTAATAATAATTAGACATTTACCAAATGTGTACTTGTTTATCAAATGTCTACTTTTATACTGAAAAGTGGGAAACATTGCTAAGAGAAATTATAGAAGACCTAAATAAATACAAATATATACTACCCTCATGTATTGGAAGACACCATAATATTAAATTTAACTCTCCTCAAATTGGGGTATAGATTCAGTACAATACATATCAAAATCCCAGCTTGCTTGTTTTTTGCAAAAATGGACAAGATGGTTTATAAAACATAGAAATGTAAAAAGACTATAACAGCCAAAACAATCTTGAAATGGAGGAACTGAGTTCTAGTACTTAACTTCATCTGAATTTTATTATTACAGTAAAGCCATAGGAATGAACACAGGATTTAGGCTTATAATTGTTAGGATGAAGAAAAGAGACAGAGGCAAGGAGTAGGGGATTCGGCTCCACAGCAACACAGGTTTATCAGAAGAAGAAACTTGCAGAGGGAGACATCAGCGAGTGCCAGAGCCCAAGTCCTACTTACAGATTAGGGCAGTTATAGGCCGGGAAAGGAGTAGCAGAGTGTTGTAAAATGGGATGGGGCAGCATGCGTAGCTGCTGCTAAGGGAAAAATTTCCTGTGGTCAGGCAGTGAGGCCTGGGACCTGCCCAACAGGATGTTTCTCTGGCCCAGGCCCCAGTGGAATTTTCCACTCTGGCCAAGGTTTGCAAAATGGTGGAGATCTACAAGATGGTGAAGCTTGGGCCAACAAGCTTTACTTTAGTATAAAAGGAAGGGGATGTGGCTGTTTCCTGCTGAATTGGGGCATTGTAATCAGGGTTTGGGTTTTGAAGTGGTAGGTGTCCGACTTCAGAGTCACTTTTCCTGGAGGTGCTGATACATTTGGTGGAGGAGGAGGACAGTATCAATATGTGTCTGGGTGGTTGCCTGGATAAGGGAGTTCAGCCTTTGGGAGTTGAAGTGAGATATAAAGTTAAGTATGCACTGGCCAGTTGTGAGCTGTGAGTGATGTGTGGATGGAAATGGGACTTCTAATGAGTGGTCTGGGGAAATCTGCCTGTATTAGGGATAGACCAGGAATAAGTAGTCATGAGAGGTTAACAACCCTGCCTTCAGGGTTTGGGAAATAACAAAATATTTGTGGTGGGAAGGTGTTTATATGGCTGAGGGTATAACAAGTTTCCGAAAATGGGACAGCCTTATATGTGAGGTATATGGTCACGTTACAGTGGGTCCAGGTGCCTAAGTCTGTGGGGATGGCAGCAAAATGTTGGGTTTGTGTGGACAAGCATATCCAGCAGCTAGAGGACGGGGGAGACTGAGGTTGACTAAGAAGTTAGTGCATTAGGTTGTCAATGGCTGGAGTGGGGACTTAAAGCATCTCACAAACAACAAAGACAGAAGGAGAAAAGAGATTTGAGTTGGAGTAAAATTTTGGAAGGTGTACTGCAGCCATAGCTCCTGGATTCATGTAAAAAATGGAATTGGACTCTTTAGGAACATGGGAAAGTGGTACTAGGAAAGATCTGAAACAAAATACGAAATGGAAGATTTAAAACTGGAGATGGAAGGTGTTCTGGGCCAAGGTCTTCAGGGCTGGCAACTTCTGGAATTCTCATTAAGTGCAGTGAGGGAGGAAGAATATCTTGGGGGTAAGGAAATTTCTGGATGTGGGTCGGCTGCTCTTTTTAGTTTGGAATGGTTTAGCCATTGTGGAATAGATGCTAGCTTTGCCACAATGGGAGTAGCTAGGATAACTTAGTCAGGACCCATTTACTTAGGTTGGAGAAGGGAGGAGGAGTCTGCAATCCAGACCCAGCCCCTGGTTGCAGGAATGGGGAGGAGTATTCAGAGGGTGGGCCTTCAGGCTTGGACAAGTAAGCGTTAGCGTACTGTTTTATTAGATGTGTAATGAAGTGTAATGCAGGTCAAGTATTCCATATAGACAGGAGGGGAATATAGAGAGATTCTGAAGGATGAAGGGGTATCTGTACATGAGTTCAAATGGGCTTAGGCTGAGGGGCTTGCAGGGAATGGTTTGTAAATGCATGAAGACCAACGGAAGAAGTGAAGTCCAGGCCATCTTAACCTCTAGGGAGAGTTTGGTCAGCTGTTATTTTAAAAGGGTATTGGTCCATTCAACTTTACCTGAAGATTTGAGGTGGTAAGGGATATGGAAAGCCCATTTGGTGCTTAGAGCCTCTGCCAGTTGTTAGTTAACTTATGAAATAAATACTGGCCCATCATCTGGCTGAATGGAAGAGGGGAGTTCAAACCGGGACATAATATAAATAGTATGAGTGAAGAGAAGAGAAGTGACAGCGTGTGCCTTTTCGGTGGTGGTAGGAAAAACTTTTGTTCATCCAGAGAATGTATCTGCTATTGTCAGAAGATACTGAACCGGTTTTACAGGGGGCATATGGGTGAACCTGCTCTGGCAGGTGTCCTTGGGCCTAGTGCGTGGGGAAAGGAAGTAGCCTAATGGTTCCCTGAGGGGAAGTCTGAGTGCAAATGGAAGAGGCCTTGGTAATACCTTTGAGATTGGCAGCCGTGGTGGGAAAATGAATATCAGTTTTTAAGAGCTGATGCAGGGGGCAGCAGGTGGCATGGAAATGGCTGTGTACATATGAAAGTACAGAGGTTCCTGGGACTTGGGCAGGAAAGTTTTGTTATTGAGATATAACCATTCTCCATTCTGCCTGGCACCAGCCTGGGTGAATGAGGTTTGTTCCTCCTGGGTACATACAGGGTATATGCTGGGAAAAAATGGGTAGTAGTCAGGGGATTTTAAGAGCTGCCTACGAGGCTACAGAATTCACCAAGGTATTCCTCGTGGCAATGGTGTTTGTAGACTTTTGATGTTCTTTGCAATGGATAATGGCAATCTCAAGTGGTAGTTTAGCTGCCTCCAGCAACTTATGTACTGTCTACCATTTACTGTGGAGCTTCCTTTTGTGGTCAGAAAACCTCTTTCCTGCCAGATAAGGACATGGGAGTGTAAGCTGTGGTATGCATACTTAGAGTCAGTGTAAATATTAACTCTCTTTCCTTTTGCTAGGGTGAGGTCCCTGGTTAGGGCAACTAGTTCCACTTGTTGGAAGGTGGTATGGGATGGGAGGAGGTTGGACTCCAGGAGTCCATTTTTTTGTCAGTGATTGTGTAGCCCACTGAAGGATATGGTTCCTTAAAAGGCTTCCATTAATAAAATATGTAGGTGTCCCTGGTAAGGGGTTTCTGAAATGTGTTGGAAACGGGAAGAAAGGGAATCTAAAAGGACCCAGCAGGAATGAGAGAGTTCAGAGTTGGAGGTGCTAATAGGAAGGAGGGTGGCTAGGTTGATAGCTTTGCATCTTTGGAAGGTGACTACAGGTTGATTATGAGTGAGGTATGTATTTGCCGTAGGCAGGATGGCAGTAGGGAAATGAAGGAGCAGTGGCTCATGAGTTCCTGTAGGTTATGAAAGGATGGAACAGTAATGCGTGGTAGACGCTGAGTTTTTGTGCTTCTGAGGCCAACAGCGTGACCACACACAAAATCTTTAAATAGGGTGGCCAACCTTGGACAAGAGTCCAGTTGTTTTGAGAGGTATGTGGTGGCTTGTGGGGCATTGCTGTATGTCTGACAGAGTACCCCAAGAGCAAGGCCTTGGTTGAAATAAATATCCAGAGTAAATGGCTTGGTGGGGTTGAGTGGTCCCAGTATTGGGGCCATTAAAAGAACATTTTTCAGGTATTTTTTAAACGGGAGTTAATGGGGCAAGCTGAGTTGAGGGTTTTTAGGACAGACCCACATTATGCCATTACAGCAGCTTGGACTGTAAGCTGAAGTTGGGAATTCACAGCTGAAAGTATCAAACAAGGCCCAAGAAGAGGTTTTTCTTTGTACGAGGAAGGAGAATGTCCCGAGGTAGCTTTGTATCAAGTTGGTATGGCCTGAGAGTTAGTAAAAATTAAAATTCTAAGGTCCCTCAACCATCTAAATGAACTTCCTCCTCTGTCAGGGCTCTTAAACTGAAAGACTCATTCTTGAACCTGAAAGACTGGTTCAAGCCATGAAGGGAAGGGAGGGTCCAAAAGACCTCATTATACCCCTCCGGACTTTGAGTCTGATAAGAAACATTTCACAGCTGTTCTCTCTGAAGCCATCTAGCTAAAAGCTTCACCAGCATAATAAAACTTTGGTCTTCACACTCTTACTGCAACACAAACATTCCTTTGTACTGATCCCAGGTCTGTAGACAAATTCAACCAATTGTCAAGCAGAAAATTTTTACCTATAGCCTGGAAGCTCCCTCTTTGAGTTGTCCTGCCGTTCTGGACCAAACTTATGTATTTCTTACATGTACTTGATTGATGTCTCCCTAAAGTGCATAAAAGAAAACTGTACCCAACTGCCTTGGACACATGTCATCAGGACTTCTTGAGACTTTATCATGGACCTGAGTCCTCAACCTTGGCAAAACAAACTTCCTAAAATAACTGAGACCTCTCTCAGATATTCTGGGCCTATGTTTGGTAACCGCAGAGGGATTCTGAGTGAAGAAGAGCCCCCGACCTTTGATAAAAGATTATTTTACTGTACAGCTTCTCTCTTTTTTTTTCTTTGGAGTTTTACTTGCTTGCAACAAGGAAGCTAAGTTTTCATGCTTCCATAATGATATAAGGCAAATAACCTCTTTATGGAGTTTGCGCTCCCTTCCAACAGGGAAGATGAGAGGTTTTGTTTTGTTTGTTTTGTTTTTGTTGTTGTTTTTCTTTGTTTCCTGCTTCTAGGATGGCAAAGAGCAGTCTACAGACTGAAACCCA